ATTAACAATACTAAGGGAAAAGTCTTCATAGATATTAATTACCAAATACAGTACAGAACCCGTTATCCGGAAATCAGAAAACCAAAGAACCGGAACGAAATTCAATAAATTTTCTCGCCATTTAAAAAAAAAAAGACGTTTTTTTTTCCTCATAAGATTTTAGGATTTTTCTTTTTTTTTTTAAAGATGTTTACCTTACCATCATTTTGGAAATAACCATCAGTGTATTACTTCATCGTTTTTTCTTCTTTTTAAGATTATTTCCAAATATATTTTTTTTAGTTGGATTTAACAATAAAAAAGACGGCTTTTTGTAGGGATTCAGAAATCTGGAAAAATCAGTTACCCGGAATAGCGATGGTCCCGATCGTTGCGGATAATCGGTTCCCTACTGTACTATCAATTAAAAATATTTAAAAAAAAACTTTATCAAAATTCATTGAAAAATAACTCTTAAAATTGAAAANCACTGATGTTACTTTAAGTTGAATTACGCGTATAACTGAAACATTGCAAAATGTATTTTTTTTTCAATGCAAACAAAGAGTTTTGAGTTGATAGTATTTAGTATTATTATTTTCCCAATAATCACGAAATCAAAATTATTTGACGGCACGTCTATGACCTCACTTAGCAATTTTTTAGAGAAAATGGCACGTTGGTGTATAAAGGTTCGCCACTCCTGCTCTAGAATATTATCCAAGAGAAAATTACCGAGAATTTTACATCCCTGATGAAATTATTTAATATCGAGAAATATTATCACTCTCTTCCATTAATGGATTTTGTTCAAGACTTATATAAAACTATTATTAATTTATTATTCGATTAACACTGTAGTTGAAATTTTTTTGCACATAACCTCAAAAAAAAAAAGGATTTTTTTTTTTCTTTTTAGAAAATAGAAAGTAGACACAAAACTAGTACAGATCCTATTTAATTTTCAAATTCTCAGTGAAAAATAATTAAATTAATTTATTTATAAGAAATATTGTTTATTACATTTAAATCCATAACATTACATTTATAACTAATATTGTTAATTCAATTCAGGATCGTGAATCAAAGCGCGATCAGGATCGCGCGAAGAGGAGGCGAGATTTTAAGGAAGGCGAAAATAGGGTGGAACCTATTTGAGAGGTTTGTGGGAGTTTCTAGTCTCCTGGAGGGAAAAAACTCTTCACTCCCTCAATGTGCGCTTGCTAGTAGAAAACTATGGGAAACAAATTTACCCCACCTTCCGTATTCCTCTTGCTTCCTGCTTACCTCCTCAGTGTGCGGCCGGCCTTAGCTCCACCACTACTCTCAGTAGCCCTCATTTTCCTTAATCTCCTTCACTGGTTCTTGTATAGTCCAGTAGTGCCAGGCAAACTGTCCTCTGAATGTCTGGAGACAAGAGACTCCTACAAAAACAGGTTCTATGCCTTTGGACACCTCACCATCATTACTCACAAGAGGCTGCAAAGCAGCAGTATTAGCACTGGGCTCACCTGAGGGCTTACCATGTGCTACTGGAGACTGTCATGAACTTTTCGAACAGGAACCTCTACCTAATTTTGCATCTCTTGCTTTCCGGCGCGACGGATGAGGCCGTATCACAAGCTTTGTTGACTTCCATCATGATAGTTGCTTGCCATTTAGTTACCCGGTGAGGGGTGTCCAGGGGGCACTATGTGGAGGCTGCAGGCATTACCTCCTGGCAGTACCTTAAATGCCAGATACCTAAATCATTTGTCTGAACAGATCTATCAAATAATTGCTCATTTGTGTCTCTAACATTTTTGTCAATAACTAAATCTTTACCAGGCTTAGTTTAAACATTAGGTTTAAAATAATACAAACCAGTTATTCTTTTACAATAGAAAATCTTCTCATTTATCCGATTATACACCGAAATACAATTTTTAGCACCCACAAAATATTCTCCAGCTAAAGTTACTCTGTGCATTTTACCATTTAATTTATTAAAAAATTGCACTTTTCCAATACCTGAAATTGGATTTTTAATGTCACCTATAACTAAAGACATGAACGCATTTTCTACAGTTTCATATTCAAAGAAAAAATCCAAATTATTACAAAAATTTGTTGAAGCAGTAATGTCAAAAAGCCAAGTTTCTTTCTGAATTTCAGGACACACATTGCCAACATTTGCTTCAACGGTACAAAGGCTATTATCTAAAACATTTGTAGTTATATTGCAATAAGAATTTTCACTAGGATTTTGTTTAAATTTACGTTTTATTTTCTTTGAATTACACTTTAATTTTTGCTTACTATCTGATATTAAATTACCATATTTGTTGCAACAATAGCAAGGTCCTATCTTAGATTTATCATAACTAGTTTTGGATTTAGACTTAATATTAGCAGATTCCAAATTTCCCTTACTATTAGAAGAACCAGATTTAAACTTATTAGTTATACTTAACTTCTTTATTAAAATTTGAATTACCATTATAAGCAATATCACTAACATTATTTAAATCAAAATTTAGTTGCTTAAGTCTACTTTCCTCTAAAAGAAGTTCATCTAAAATGTTCTTGAATTTAAATTTAGTGTCCTCCTATTTATAAATAATTTGAACAATACCTTGAAAGTCTTTGGGTAAGTGTATTATCAGTTGAAATCCTTGATATTGGACCCTGAAACCATGTTCTTTAATCTAACAGCAAAGATTCCTATTCCTTCTCCTGGGGTGTATTTTGTTTTGGAGAATTGGTCTAGGAGTTGAATCACTCTTGCTCTCGTATTTGGCTCAAAATGTTGCTTTCGAATTTCCCAAGCTTCAGCACCATCAGTTGTTGCTGAGATCAGACTTCGGTATTCGAGTTTGACACTAAGAAATGTCAATGTGTACGCTTTGTCCCTCCTCCAATGGAGTTCTTGACTTTCTTTTCGGCTTGCGTCTATAGGTAGGGCAGGCTCAGTTTTGGATATAAAACTTCAAACTCCTTGGTGCATGAGGATTACTTTCATGTTTTCTTTCCATGTATACTCTAATTTGACGAATTCAGGAACTCTATATGCAGGTTCAAAGATTCCATGACGAGACAATTATAACTCAAAGATTCTAAAACAGGGTTCCCAGGGTGCTTGAAAATTCTTGAAAGTCCTTGAATTTTTTTGAAAAAATCAGGACCCTGAAAAGTCCTTGAATTCTGCCATAGGGTACTTAAAGAGTACTTAATTTTTTAGGAATTAAAATAATACTAATCTTTCCTACAAAAAAGCAGTTAAAAAAATAACTAAGTTAAAGGAAAATTATAAAAATTCTGATATATGCAATTTTTAATGCTTGAAAGAGAAAAAAATCATTTCTTTCGTTTTATCTCATTTCTTTCTGTTGCACTGATGAAGGTTGCCCTTTGAGCATCCGAAACAGCTGTATGCATTTATAAATATTTTTTGTGCTCTTAAACGTTGTTTACTTTAGTTTGTTTTTATATTACTGATATTCTGAAGTAGCAAAATAGATAATTTGTTATTAAAATTGAAACAGATATGATAAATGGATGTATTTTGATATTTTATCGATTTATATTCATTTCCTGTAACCTAAAATTTGATCTAACATATAAAAAAGAAGTATTTATATTTTAATCGTACAATTACTCAAACTTTATCAATTATTTACTATGCTTGTTTAATGTTGCGTTATTCGTTCATTCAGTTTCATTAATTCAAATTCACTTCATTAAATTTTTCATGAAAAGTTTCACTGATGCTAGTTTTTAAATGTTGGCTAGTATCCTATGTCAATTGGAGTTTTTTTTATCTTTTCCATTGGAAACTTTTAAAAGTGATTTGAAACAGCAATGTAACTATCAACCATTTGTATTATTGGCTGATAAATTTATTTTATATATTCTTTTTTGTTGTCAAATAAGCATTGTGTTTTAAATATATAAAATTTCTGCTTCTACGTAATTGTAAAATCTGGTTGACATGTACTTCAGCATATAACTGTAATACCGAATAGGTCCTTGAAAATTTTGATTTTAGGTGCTTGAAAGTCATTGAAAAGTCCTTGAATTTTTTTTAAAAATTGAGTGGGATCCCTGTAAAAACAAAAGGAGTATCGTTGCTCGTTCCATACTAGATACCAAACTTCATAATCTTTAGCAGTAGCCATCAAATTCGGATGTGTAGACTTGTATTCCAAAGTAAAATTCTTTAAAAAATGTTTACTGTTAGTTTTGTCAACTGGAGAAAAATTCCTTAAAAGTGTCATATTTTAAAAATGTCCTATTATTTTAGAATCCACAGCAACTTGAAGTATACCATAACAAGCTTCAGATTTAAGCTGACGATTCACTTTGCGAAAAATGGCGGGCAGGAACGGCCCCCATCTTTAAGCTTCTCCCACTGAAGTTGGCAAAATCCAAGCTAATACAAATTTGATATTTAGGACGGTAGATATTGAATCACGGTTATGCCTAAAACACGGCCTATAACCATGACATCTGAGATTGTCTCTGACAACAAAACAAATAAAAAACGAAGTTTCTATGGCAATAAACTTATTTTAAATGCATATTGAACTGGTAAACATACTCTGACAATCTGAGTGACAAATGAGTAATGAAAAGAATGAATAAATAATACAAACAATAATGCTTCAACAGAAACTTAAATACTCGTTAAACAGATAATGTATGACGTCGTGATCCACGCGAAAACGACCAACAGCCAATGAAATGACAAAGAATACTGGCTTATCGTCGCAGACCATGACATTACTGACGTAAGTTGAATGAATGAGATCGTCATTTAAACGACTGACGAATATCGAACCTATACCATTTTTTGCTATTTAATCAATCAAAATAGAAAAAACCTTTTTCGCATTTATTTACCTAACACTTTGATCATGACAACCCGCCTTAAACATATTTTCAACTACAGATATTATATTATTTCTTACTTATCTAAATGATAAAACTTTGAGCACCTTTTCTGAACTAATTTGCAATTGTATTATTTTGTAACATTTCAGCTGCCTGTTTGTAACTTGAAAAATGGTGGACAAGAAATTGTGCCTGATGAATTATGGAAAAATTTTAAAAATGTTGTTAAACAATGTTTGTTATGTAAGTTATTTTACTTATGTGTACTCTTTTGATGTGTTAATCTGCTTTTGAGTTGATTTTTCATTTTGGCTAATTAATCACTTCTACTTAAGAGGACGCCATACCACATCAGAAAATTTTTCTTGCAAATTCTCTTTTTCCTTCGTTACTAATTTGAAATTTAAACAGTAGCAAAAGTGAGTTCAGATGAACCTAGAGTAAGCTATGAAGTTTCAAATACTGAAAACAAGATTTTAAAATAGCATATGAAAATAAGTTATGAGAAGTAACTTAGGATTATGCAACGGTGAAGTTTTCTTCTAATAACTTATTTGCATTTTAATATTTTGAAGTATTTTTTTAGCAACTGAAATTTCATGTCTTACTCTAGGTTTCCCTGAACTTATTTTTTCTTTCTTTTAAATTAGTAATAAAAGAGAAGAGAATTTGTAACGAAAATTTTCTTCCGCGGTGTGACATCCTCTTAAGTAGGAAAATATTGTTAAAATGTTTATAAATGTAAAATTCTCAATGGATAATTAAATATCGTTAAGCAAATGAGTTATTTAGAATTTTTTTTTAATAGAAACAGTTTAGTTATTTTTGAATTTAAAGTCATTTATTAAATTTTTTTATTCCATTTAAAATTTATGCATATACTTTGTATTAAATGTTGTATTAATAATTTCATATAAACTGTTATTTTCTAAATTTTATGTTATTGGTTTTTCAGAAACTAAAAAGTGTTGACCTTAGTTATCGGATAAGATATATTTGGCTTTTGTGCATTTGTTTTCATGAGTTTGTCTCGTAAGGACAGGGTTCCCACGGTCCTTAAAAACTGCTTAATTTTTATTTTGGAAAATAAGAGCCCTTAGGAGTGCTTAATTTTTCAGCATCACTATAGTTGATAAGAACTATTTTTCAGTTAAATTTTTTATAACAAAATGTTGTTATTTTATCACCTGGAATCAAACTATGCATTGAGGGTAGAGGATTTTCGGGAAACAGAAAGGTGAAGCATGCTAAAAGAAAAGAATAGTGTGGACAAGGGGGATAATGCACATGGAAGAGGTCGTGCTTTTTTTGGGAGGGGGGAGGAGGGGGCAGTTTTAAGTACCTAAGTAGAAGACCCACACTAATCTTTAAAATTGACAGAATTCACGAAATTCTACTGGTAACGTGTCTGCTTATAGGAATTTTTTAAAGCCCTAAGAAAAGTATCAGAAAATTTTTTTGAACAAGAATCCATAATGAAAACTATTTCTTAAAATCTTGAATTAAATAAATTTGTATAATATTTCAATAGTAATAAGTAACTGCAAATTTATAGAAAACAATAAAATTTTTTAAAATTCATTATTGTACTAAAAATTAAACCGATCAGTAATAAACAGGGTTTGAAAAATCCCAGCATACTTAGGTTTTTCATCAAAAACCTTTGGTTTATTGAGTTTATTGGCTTTTTGATGAAAACCTCAAGTTTTTTTTAAAAAATACTTTCATTTTTTTTTCATGAGTACTAAATAAGAATTTACGATTTGCTTCTGACGAGAAACTCAAATATTTGGTAACTATTTATATATTGTTTTGTTGCAAGGTAAATTTTTTTAAAGTTTTAGATTGTTATGCTATTATTTTTATTTCTTAAGCAGATTATTACATAAATATTTAAATGTTCTCAATTAAAAGATCCTTAAATTTTAATAATCATTTTATTCAGTTAATATTGCAACTTAATATACTGTTTTAATTTTTATTCAATTTTTGTTTGCTTTAAAATTAGTTCATGTTTTTGGCCAGATTATTTATTAACATTATGTAATGTTAATTCTTAAAAACAGGTTTGGCTGGAAATAATTTTGAGTAAAGCTCATCATAAAAGTAAATATAACACATTTGCTATTTAGTAGTTTTTTCAAAATTAAGTTACATACAGTTTTCAATATGTTTCTCATACAATTTTTATTCATAAAATTTTATTACAGGAATAATTTTATAATAAAGGAATGCCACTTTTAGTTTTAAACAGTTAATTTGCGATAAAAATAAAATATAAAATCATAATAATAGTAGAGAATAATATTAAGAATGGTAGAAGATGATAAAGAAATATTGCTAGTGAATAGCTGTAAATGATAAAAAAAAAAAAAATAATAATTTAGCAGTATTAGTTAATTAAGGAACCTATCAATTTTCTGGCCATAGGAATGTATTGATACTTTTGAAAATTCATTTTAGAACCTTTTATTTATATGTTTGACTGACAACTGATAGAAAACATATTGGTTTGAAAATTATAAATCTTCTCATTAAAATTTATCTCATATAAATCTTCTTATTAAAACCTTCATAAAAATAATTATTTCAATGAATTTAACACAATATATTAAGTTAAGTCTAATGAAAAAAAAGTTGAATGATTTGAGGTACTTAGATATTAGTATAACCTGTTTTTACTTGAAATCGGACTTAATTTAACATGACATAGTAAGAAAACTATTCTCATTCATAACTCTTATTCAACTTTTTAGCATTAATTCTTTTAATATATACCCTTATAAATAAAATATTTTATTAATAGAAAATAAAGAATTTTTTTGTAATACATTTAATCTTCATGTTTATGAGACAGCAAATTTTTGTTTTGAGACTCCTTAATTGCAAATGATGAACTTTATTCTATTTTTTTACTTTAGCTTCAAAACTAAGCTCTTCAGATGTTTTAAGTCTGGGCATTTCCACCCAAAGAGGCACTTTTGTAACCTGGGACAGGTAATAATTAATTTTTATGAATCTTTATTTTTTGTAATTTTTGTTGTTGGAATTTTAAGCACCAAATAGATAGTTTGTTTATGTTTTTTATTAGGAATAGTGGGGAAACATTTCACAATTTTATAACATGGAAAGATAAAAGAGCAAAGAGTGTTTGTGAATTATGGAATGCATCACCTTGCATAAAAGTATAGCTTTGTTTTTTAATCTCATTTTTTAATTAAATTGTATAATGAATTGGCATGCTTTTTCATTGTTAAGTATTAATCTTAAGCATTTCTCCAGTGACAACAAAGTAGACTTCATAGCCACTACAATGTGAAAAACTGCAATTGTTTGGTGTGCTGCATCATTTTAAGCTATATATATATATATATGTGTGTGTATGTNTCGTTGTATATATATATATATATATATATATATAACTGAATAATGATGGTTATATAATATTTTACAGTTAAACCTCACTAATATGAAACCTCTGAGCATGAAATATCGCTTTACATGAAACATGTTTGGTCACATAAATCGGCAATCAATTATGGTTGTATTTTACATGTTTAACATGAAATTTTCAACTTGATTATTGCTTAACAAGAAAGGAAACTATATGCAGCATAGATAATAAATAATTAGGTATGGTATTATAGTATGTTATAATACAATACCTGATTGAATTATTGTATTATTGTAATGAATGATGAATAAAATCCAAATCATGCATTTTGAAGAATGCTATTTTTATTTTCTTTTTTTGTTAGGAGTAGCTGATAGGCAAATAGTTAAAATAGTTTTATAAAGTAGTTTATATAGTAGTTATAAAGTAGTTATATAAAGCTTATTTTAATTTGTTTGTTTTATAATAGAATTTTTTGCAAACATTAATGTAGTACATAACATGCATTAATATTTCAAAATAAATTGTTTTCATGATGTATCGGATAAAACAAGTTTCGGTTGACATGAAATAATTATGATAGTCCTTCTGGTTTGGCATTAGCAAGGTTTGACTGTATTCTAAAGAAAGGTAATTTAATTTGCAAAACATGCTGTTATACATTTTTTTTTGTTGCAAAAAGCTTAAAAATGGAAATAAACATTGTTAAATTCATACAATGTTATCAGATGTTACCAATGTTATCAGATAATTCAATATTTTAAAATCTGCAGCTCCTAAATCTGTTGTATTTTTTCTAGAAATCATTCTAACAAAACTAGATGATTAAATTAAAACTTCAATAGTGATTATTTATATAATTGAAGAATCTACCAAATCTACAGTGAATTTGAGTAAATGAGAGTTAAATTCAATACATTCTTCCTTTTTTTCTTTTCTCAATCTTTGTCTTTAGTATGTTTCTGAAGACGTAACTTACAAAATTTTTGAGGATCTGTTTATTTTAGTCTAACTCTCTTATAAAAGAACATTTAATGTTTTTTGTACTTTGCAATGGGTTGTTTTCACAAAGGATTTTTAATGTTTTTCATCGAATATAATTTTGTTTGAAATGATAAAAATATACATATATTAAGCTTATATTCATGAAATAAAATTTTAGCAACCTTAATTTGGAATTTTATCTAGACTTGGAAAATAAAAATAGAAATAAACATTATTAGCTCTTTTCATTCCTCAAAACTTTATATCAAAAATCTAATGAGACAAAATTTGAAAGCCTTGCTGAGTTCTCATGTTTCTTCAAGAAGTTGGAAGAATAGCTTAGACCAAAATATTTTAGATAAATCCCATGAAAAATCTGTTGCGGAATTCAGACAAATCCTAATTGCCCGCTTTGTAGAAAAAACGAAATCATGATCAGGAACCTTTTGTTATGATACACGGTTCTGCATGTAGACTTCATGGTGAAGCTATACTGGAGCGCACGACATCTTTTGATGGGACATTGACTTTTTTCTCTTATTGTGTTCCATTTTATCCCTGTTCTTTGTTAATCTTATAGGAGTTCGTCATTTTCCTTTGCCATTGGAATTATAAGAAATGTTAGTCTGAAAAGCGATCAAATACTATTCAGAGGCAGCATAAGCTCAACTTTCATGGAGTAGATGTTTTACCATCCCTTTATTTGGAGAGAATTCTATAATTTTTCATTTTAAAAAAGTATTCTTTCATATAGATTGTGGAAATGTTATGTCATTTCATTACATCTAAAGGTATTTCAGAAATTTCATGGAAATATTTCATTAGTTTTATTTAAAAAATGTCTTGGTATAGTTGTTGAAACACAAGAATTGTTTTCAATCTTCATTAAAAATTAGTTTCATTGAAAATTAAAAATTTTCGTCAATTATTAAAAATTTTCATGCATTAACGGCACATTTTTCATGGTAAGTAACATTTTTAAAAGTCCTTAAAGGTGCTTTTTCCAGTGGGTGTTTTTAAAAAGTGCTTAATTTTTCCTTTTTCGAAAATGAAATTTTTTTCTTTACCATTTCGATTTCCCCCATGTATTATGCAGAAAACGTGCTTTTCACTTTGTTCTATTTAACGTTTTCACAATTCATTTAACCACTATATATTTCAGCGTGCCGTCTGTTCATAGCATATGAAAGCGCCAATAATTTTACATGTTTGATGAAATACTTGCGAGTCCTCATATGGGTCTACTGAGCTGGGTTCAGTGAGATTATTGTACTCTCATGTGCAACTCTGCTCATTTTGCAAGATGTTCTCAATTTCAGGCTTCATTTTCCACCCCTTGATTTTATAATGGCTAATGTAATCAAGAAAAGACTTCTTTGTCAGAGACTAGTTATCTTTTCCTCATCAAGTAAAATCTTGGAAAATTATTTGTTGAGTGTTTAAAAGGTGCTTATTTTTTGTTGAAAGATTTGGCTACACACTCTATTTTAATTTTGGGTATTTTTTCTATCATGGCAGACAATCATGATTAGTTACGACACTTTCATTTTTCTTCATTATTTAGGTTACCACTTCAAGAATTTCTGACGCCAATCCACTCAGTGGATCTGCAGCTTTTTCCATTTTTGCCTTTTTAGCCTTGAATCTAGATGACAAAGAACAGGATCACATTCACCTTCAAGAATTCTTTAAAGGGAAACAAATCAGCTTTTACTAAAAATGGAGGTAAAAACCTCCCATGATTAACCTGACAAGAACTCTAATCCATGATCTGTCAACTACTGTCAAGATATTTATGTCAGCACTGAGTTGGGAGCGGAATTTGTGTCGACTAGGCATCACTAGGATTCATCCCTAGTTCGCCAAACTGGAAGGCAAACGATCTATCCTCTGAGCCACTACTACTTGATTTTCAGAGATGAAAGACTTCTGCAAAAGAGCGGAAATCTGCTTTTTTCTCCCGATTTTTAAAATTTCCAACCATGTTCCAAAAACGTAAATTTTTGGGGAGTCAAATTATCAGAGAAACCTCCTGCCCCATAGCTTGATCCGCCTGACCGATAGCCGGACTTGGAGCAAACTTTTTTTTCTCCTGCAGCAGCCTCTTAAGAAAGAAAGATCCTTAGGAGAAAATGGGTGGACGTTCGCAGGTGTGCTTTTGCCTTGACAACCACAACTTCCGCTGTAGAGCGGAACAGATGAGGTTATTGATTGTTGATTTATCTGAGTTCAGTTTCCTTTCGACCGCTAATATTTATACTGTTAATTATAAATCTCTCCACTTCTTATTTTTGGCCGTTTCTGCGTTTGTCCATGCACATGTTTGTATTTTGTTTACTTGTGTCTTTCACGTGGTGCATCGTACATAGCTGCCAAAAGTTCCTCTAAAATCGTTTTTTTTCACGATTTTTTAGCTTTGTTTCAAAAATACGATTTTATGTCAAAATGTTATAATTTTGCAGAAAAATTGATTTTCAAATGACTTTTAACTATACCGATATATTTCAAACAATTTGGAAAATTGAAATTGTTCATTCTTTTTAAGGCAATGATTCTATGGCTTTTTTTTTGGGGGGGGGGAGGATATTTATTTCACACAGTCTCCCTAGTTCCTAAATCCGACATTTTTTTATACAATATTATTTATTACTACAACCTAATCTCGAAATGAAACACACATTGGAAGAGTCTGATTCCTGTGATTTGGATGGCAATCTTTTTTCGGCAATTACTATACTCGGTTTCATGATTTTTAAGTATTTTTTATTGTGATAATTATTTACAAAATTCGAAGAAGGAAATATTTTGTGCTTTCACCCCCTCCCCCAACAAAATGCGAGAATATCACCCATAACATTAAAATAAAAAATTATTGCATGTTTAATTAAAAATAATTATATATTTTTTAAAATTTTATTCATATTTCTTTTTTGTAAATCCAGCACTTTTGTTATTTTAAATTAGTAATATATATGTTTGGTATTATAAAAAATATCTTGCAGAAAGATATTACAGGGTGCATTGCATTTTTAAAAAGTGCTTAATTTTCCCCTTTTCAAAATGAGATTGTTTTTCTTTACCATGTCCATTACAGCCACTTATTATGCAAAAGTGCGCTTTTCACATTATTATATTTAATGTTTTCGCAATTTATTCAACCACAATCCATTTCGGCGTACCATCTGTTCATAACATATGAAAGCACCAATAATTTTACTTGCTTGATGAAATACTCGAGAGTCTGCATGTTCGTCGACTGAGCTGGGTTCGATGAGATTATTGCACTTTCATGTGTAACTCTGCTGCATTTTGCAAGATATTCTATAATTCAGGCTTCATTTTCCACCCTCTGATATCGAACCAAAAAATATTTTGATATTTTTCTCCGGGCTAATGTAATAAATAAGAGTTCTTTGTCAGAAACTAATTATTTTATCATGATTATGTAGTCTTTGAAATTTATTTTGCATTTTGTTAATGTATATGGTGCTTAAAAATATTTTTTGAGTGCTTAAAATGTACTTGCTTATTTTTTGTTGATCGATTTGGTTACGCTGTATTAGTGCTACAAAGTTTTATCACAGATAGCTCGAAAAAATTCTTCCTCGGGGATCTTCTTTTTGAGAGGATAAACTTCAGAAAACATGTTTTGCTTAATCTAATAACATAAAGCCATCAGGAAGAGAAGCAAATAGAAATCAATAAAAAACTGGCATTTTGTCGGTTGATTGCATCTGCATATCTTTTTAATTTTTGTGCATGATTTCGTAATGTTGATCATTACCAATTTTTTGATCATTTAGTTTTATTTCAACCCTCAAGAAGAAACAGCTAATAGCAATAACAGTAAACTGAAAAAAATTGCCTTATTGCAAAAAATATTTATTTTCTATGTGACTTTGATTGGAATAAAAATTATACCAGGGTAGTGTATCTGAAACACAAGCTAATGCAAACCAGGAAAAAAAAATTAAAAAATTGCGTGTTGAAGTTTATCAGTTTGAACTGATGGCATGCATAAGAACAATACAAACACACAGTAAAATAACTTAGCAACGTTGCAAATGTGAACAGAAAAGTAACGTCTAAGTAATAACCAAATAATTAAAAAGGAAAACAAGAGCAAAAGATCAATAACAACGTAACTATAATTGGGTTTAGCACAGTTTGTAAACAAACTTTTGAAATTTTGCACAGTTGCAGTTAAAATTGTGTTGCCTATCAGTCTGAAATTATAATGAAAAATAATTGGTACTCGGGAGAATAATATGTAAAAATTCGAGCCAACCAACAACGATCTCAGAAAACGGAACTAACTTCTTGAAAGGTTACAAAATGTAAACAAAGGAGCGTGGTCAAAAAGTTACATAACTTTATTAATTTTTTAACAATCTACAAATTTTTTTGTGCAAAAACATATCTGACATGTCAACACATAAAATTTGAAAAACAAAATTTTTGTTGAATTTCATGAATTTCAATGTCGTTTGTCTTCTTAAGGGTTATTTTTTCTTTTCTTTTTTAATTATTGATTTAAAAAATATATACAGTGGAAAGTCGCATATCCAGAATCGGTGAGACTTCCAGAAGTCTGGATAATAGATTTTTCCGAATAATAGACACCCAAGGTAAACAAAGCTTAAAACAATCTAATAAACGATCTGAATCCAGGAAGCAAAAAGTAAATAAACATTAATTTTCGGGCAATAATATTTTAGTATTAGAAGGATATCTAATCAATCAAAAACAAAATATTAGAAGGAAAAAAATTATTGCTTAAAATATAGAAAATGGAAAGAATTTGACAGTTATGAAAATATTAATTGCTCTCTCCGTCATTTCGTACTAGAACGATTCAAGCAAGAAGCATAAAATCCCGTCATTCATTCAGGTGGGTAGGTGGAGAAGAAAAATTCATTTCCTCCTTATTTGTATAGAGAAAATATGCGTAAGGAGATCGTTCAAGTTGAAGGTGGGGAAGTGACAAATTTTTATTTTCTCTCTGATCATTGGCTATCAATCTAGTGTACATGCGCGACATGCTGATTGGGTTTTCTTTCTTTCTTTTTTTTTGTGTGACTGAAAGAATCTGGGTTTTGGCTGTTAACAGCATGTATGGTAGACCTATTCAAATTTTCCATTTTGACACCCTGTCCATGTTAATGCTCGCTGCGTTTACCCTTTTCCACAGTATTTCTTCTTTCCCTAACATTCTAATAGAAAGGTTCCAGGAAATGCCTCTTTTACTAGCCAGCTGCATAGGAAAGAGGGGGGGGGGCAGGGGACTCAGTTATGCTCTTTTGAAAACAAATCCCCCTCTTTTTCTGTATTCCAAAAGAGGAACGTTGCTAAAGGCCACTGGGCAGTTTTAGTAGATCTTCTCTTCCCCTTTCTGGTGATTTAAGCGTTCAAATAATGCCCCTTGGTTGGTTCTTCCATTCAGAATTAATTGATTTAGCAATATAAATGTATGTTATATATTTAAATAAGACTGAAATAGAAAGAAATTCCGAGAAATCTGAATTTGTAAAAAAAAAAGATGTCACTTAACTGGCTCTTCCACTAAGCTGTACAATTACCCTCTCGTCTTTCCAAATTTTTAGTCTTTTTTATTGAGGAAGCTGTTAGATTATTTTTATTAATGAAAAATAAAAAGCATTACTGCGTGAAGTCTTTCCTTTTTTTTAAGTTATAGCTATAAAATTCTGTATAATTTCTCTAATTTTGCTTAAATTATTTATCTATTTTTTTTTACAAATGAATTCGAATCCCATTTTAGCCAATTCTTAGGGACCAAAGCAATTTCTACACAATAATGAAAATTCGTTATACCGATGTTACGAATTTCAACAGTAACCAAAATTATTTTGTTACATTGGAATTTTTTGCATAAAAAATTATAAATATTGCATTTAATTACAGTATTGATTAATCTGTTCTCTACATGTAGAAAATATGAAATCATAGTGTTAAAAGCTCACAAAAACAAATGAAATGGATCAATGGATTTATTATCACTTACCAATCAGAAATTACGAAATCCATAATTTTTTTCTGTACAGATGTACACATTTTCGAATAACTGAACTTGAAATCCCTATTTTAGAAAGCCACGTGTACTTTTACTTCTTAAAACATGAATGGGTTGGGGTTTCAGAGTGTTCCTTCCGAATGATTCGTCTTTTTTGACATATCCCTTTCATATCTGAAACTTTTTATTTTGAAGATGCAAAAATATTCGAATTCTAAATCATTGTGTACTTCTGAAGAATGGAAAAGTTGTTTTGATCACGAGAGAAAATGAGAATTGTTGCTTATTTTCACTTTTGTTAAATCGTATTACCAATTTTTTAATATCGTTATTTTTAATTCTTTGTTTCTATGGAGATTCATTTTGGGATTCAGAAAATATTCGTTACATTGAAATTTTCGTTATTTCAGATTTCGCTAAAAGCGGGATTTGACTGTATATAAATGTTTACTTTAAGAATTTTCCTAAACTGACTATAAAAAATTTATTTTTTCCATTTTTAGTTCCTCAGGCTAGGAGCATTTATTATGTATATATTTACACGAATGAAGAAATTTCAGCTATTAAGCAGATTGCAGTTCTCAACAGCAATGGTATATATTAAATTGCTTAACATTTATTTCATTTTCTATTTGTTTAACTTGTTTTTATAAAGTTGTCAATACTGTTATTAAATTTATCAGATTACCGGTTACAAAACTCATGAATTTAAGAAAGGATCATGTAAAAGGAGAGTTTACAGAACACCTCCCATATAAATTTATTCAATCGCACTTTAGATAGCTTTTAGTTCATCTGTATGACATTTTTATATGTTGATTTTTGTGGTCACTGTCTTTATCATCTTTGCTGGATTCCTTTTCATTGTTGACAATATTAACGATCATTTTATTGATAATGTTTTGTTGTCTGTCAGCTTGTTTTCCTGAGTGTTGGAAGATAAAATTCTTTTTTCGGAATTTTTCGAATTCGAATTTTTTTAAAATAAGAAATAAACTAGAACACAAAAAATTCTTTAAATATTTGATAGCTCAGTTAAAGTGGAAACTCGGATAATCAGGACTCTACTGTATGTAAATTTTTTATTATTTTTTTTGCTGAATATGATATATAAATAAATTATTTCAGGTTCTAATTCGCCTTTACTGGATATTTCAAAATACTATTCAGGTAAGAAAAATTCTTTATTTAAGTATTTATTTAGGTTTCTGTTAAAGAAACATTTCTTTTAATGAGTGTCAGATATGAAATTTAAATTATTAGAGCTTCAATTTTGTTAACATTGATATTTTTTAAAACATTCACCTTTCTGTTGTCTATAATTAATTTCAGCTTTGATATTTGGTTTCTATTGTTTTTGATACACTAATCAGGATCACATAATTTGGGTCACATTTATTATAGCATTATTTATTTTAAGTATGTTCAGCTCCTCTTCTTTACTTTAAGTTTTTTCAGCAAAAATACAGGGTATTTAGTTTCTTATTTTCGCCTTTTAATAAATGGTGAGAACACTCAAAGCACAATCTATGGAATATTTAAGGATGTTTTTCCAACTATATTTAACTATTTAATTTATTATGGCATTATTTGTATTATAAGTATGTTCAACTGTTTCTTTTTTTCTTTAGTTTTTTCAGCTATAATAACTACTATAAATGCCCAATACAGCTCAGACAAGAGCACAGTAATTGCATGTTTCTTCTTATTATACTGTGTATAATATGTACAGGGAAAACACAGATTTTTTTTTTCTCCATATTTGAGTGGCAACCCTGAAGAAAATTTTTTTTTCAGTTTCTCTTTGCTTTTCTTATTAACTTTTTACTTTTTTTCAGAACTTTTACTATGACAGCGTTTTTTAAAGAGCGTTTCTAATGAACGTTATTCTTTCATGGTCCTTTTTTCCCTATAAGGATGACAAGAGATGATTAAGTTTTGAGACTTCTAACTTTTGATTTTTTTTGTTTAAAAATTAGGAATGATTTCTGTTTTGGTTTTCTATCTAATGTTTTCTTTTTTAAAAACATTTATTTTTATAAACATTTTTATTAGAATGCAGCAATTAGAGGGGGGTTCCTATTAGACTTTATTTTTCATTTTTGTTATCGAAAATATGGTAATTGGGAAAGTTAAATTATGATAGCTTTAAAATTTTCTTTCAAAAATTAAGATCAATTTTTATTTTTTCTGTTTAGATTTTTCATATAATCTTTTTTTTTATGGACGTTTTTATGATAGCACTGCATTTTGAAAAGCGTTTCTGATATACTATGTCTCATTTAATGTTTTATAGGTAATTTTTTTACGGAAAATATTTTTAGCATAAAAGTTTTGTTTTGTCTCTTTCTCTTTTTTTTCCAACTTTACCACTGCTGTTATTTTTTTAATAACTGTTGCTTAGTTCATTTTATTTATCTTAAATATTTCTATTATAGTTTCTTTTTCCTTTACCTAATTCTAATAACATAACTAATTTTCGATTAATTTTCAATAATGACTAAACTTATTGGCATATAAAAATATTTATATTGTGCAAAAAAGTCGTTAATAATATTTATTAATGATTTTTTTTGAAAAGGAAAAAAAAAGTTGCTATTCTGCTGCCAAATATTCGGTATTCGGCTGTTTCCCCCCCCCTAATATTCAGTATTTGACCAAATCATTATTCATACCTTATTACAACCACAGTAATATGTAAAAATTACAAGCTTATTTTTTGATTTTCTGGTATAGGATGCTCAATTAATTACCATCCCCTAAGTATTTCCTGAGAAATTTAAAAAGATGTCCAAAAACTGAAAGTGTCTCTTTTATTATTTTAGGGTAGTGTGTATATATACATGTATATAGTACAGGTCAAAGGTTTAGACTCACTCTTGAATTTTTTAAAAATGAACAAGAAACAAGGTTTTCAAACCGAAAATCACAACAAATTATCTTTATTTTGATAATTATAAGTACACTTATGTGGTACGATCTATAATTTTATGCATAACTTATAAATTTTGTCCAATTTTGTATTTTTCAAAATACCCTCCTTTAGCCTTATTCACAGCAGTGCATATTTTTGACTTTCTTTCTGTTAGTTTTTGCAATGTTCAAGTTGAGATCTGGTTCCAGCAACTAATTAAAGATTCTCAAAGTTTGTTATGATTTGTGTATCACATTTTTTTAACATTTTTGTAAAGTTAATCCCACAATAGCTCAATAGGATTAATATCTTGGGATTAAAGGGGCCAATCCATGTATTTCAGTACTTATTTCTTTTCTTTTGATGCATTGTAGACTCTACGCAATTTCGATAAATGTTTCTGATCATTATCTTGCTGAAAAACAAATCCTTGACTAACGATTCTTTGTCCACATGGAAAAGCGTAAAGCTGCAATATTCTGTGATGATATTTTTTATCCATAATTCCCTCTATTCTTTCAAGATCTCCAACTTTGTTTCCAGCAAAACATCCCCAAACTATGACTGAACCTTTACCATGCTTCGCAGTTGGCAGTAAACCTTGATTTGTCATACATTCACTTACTATCCGAGGTAAATACTGCCTTTGTTTGCTTCCAAGCAATTAAAATTTTGACTCGTTAGTAAACGAAACGTTTGACTACTGTTCTAAAGATTAGTTAACATGTTTTTTAGCTCATTTCAGTCGTTCAACTATGTTTTGTTTTTTCGAAAGAAGTTTTCCTGCAGCTACACAACATTTTAAACCATAGTCACGAAGTTGACTTTGTATAGTAGTTACTGATAAAGTTTTCTGACTAGTAGCATTCAATTATTCCTCAAGGATTTCTGGTGCTGTTTGAGTTAGCTGCCACTTACTTTAAATGCAGATAAACTTATCCTCACGGTTGGACGTTATTCTAGATCTCCCTCATCATTGGCGACTTTTATTTTAGCCAGTTTCTTTCTTTCTTTGCAAAGTTCTGACAACAGTGTCTGGGAAACATTAGTTTTAGAGGTAATTTATCTACTTGATTAGCCTTCTCCATGAAGTGAAATAATATCTGCACATGTTTTGACACTTAATTCTGGTTTTTGACCCATCATTCTGTAATGAATTATATAAAATAATGTTAACTTTTGTTTTTAATATGTACCAGTTATTCTGTCAAAAGAAGGCTATTATATCAATATTTTTAATGTGTTATGTACATCAACTTATAATGAACTTTACAAAGGAAGATTAAAAGTAAATCGTTTATAAACTAAAAATTAATGAATTTTTTTAAATGAATTACACTCTTTTTAGAATAGGAATAAAAGTAAACAACTACACAATAGTTACAAAATAAAAAACCAATGAACAGTTTCAAATGGAAACAGTGTTTTGCAAAGTTTGTTTGAATATTCGATAAATTATATGTTTAAGTTAGAAATATCTATGAATCTTTAATTTTGAAAAAATTCTTTAATTTAAAAATTAAAAATGAATTTTGCATGAATCTTTAATTTTAAAAAAAAACGAAATCTATTTGAACAACTTGAGAATTAAAATTATTTGTTTTGACAATTTCATTTTACATTTTTAAATTTTATTGATGAAGTTTACAAACTTACTTTTTTACTTACTTTTCTGTGCCTTACTTTTTGGTTTAATTTTTATATTCTAACAAATATTTTATTAAATAATAAATAAATTTCATAACCATGTTTTGAAATTTTCAAAATGTACTCATTTAATATTTTTACTTCTAAAGTATCAAACAATATTTTTCTTCAAGATAGCAATAAAATTAGTATTTTATTAATTATTTTTAAATATTTCCTATATCTCACAGAATATTATTAAAAATCACCTTTCTAAATTTCAGAATTAATAACAAATTTCATAACATTTTGATTTGCCTTTTTGTTTTTGTAGCTTCAAAACAAAGAAAGTCATAAAAATGTATTATTTGGAACAATTGAAACATGGTTAGTTTGGAAACTGACAGAAAAGCAAGTACACACTACTGACGCTTCAAACGCTTGTGCAACAGGGTTTTTCGATCCATTCAGAGTATTTCAACATTTCTTATTCCTTGGCTGCAAATTTTTAGACTCATTGATTGCATAGTTGCCAACTGTTATGATTAAATCGTTTTTGTTCCGAAAAAATGATTTTAGGTCAAAATGTGCTGATTTTTTTGATATTCTAGCACCTTTTCACTCCTTATGCCAATTTTCTTTCAACCCAGGGTAGGGTATCAAATTGAAGCAGGACATGTGATTTTTCTGCAAACATTGCAGAATTCTGCATATTTCTAGACCATTGGTTAGCAGATTTCGTCGAATCAAAAATTTTTGATCCGGCGAAATTTACACTTTTACTTACTAATTTACTTAAAACTAATGCTAACTTTTCTTAAAAATTACTTGTTTATTACTATTAAAAATGAGTTAACATAATAAACATTTCTAGTTCATTTAATGTTGATCATAAACGGAAAATATTACAGACTGTTTATATAGTTATTAGAATGTTAAAGATTTTGTGTTCTGATGACAATAAAAATCCCTAAAATTCCTTATGTGTAAAATATTTAGTATATTATGCAATAGTTACAATGAGATTTATGTTATTTCATAAAGTCAACTAGATTTTTTTCTATCTGTGTTGGCAGGTATTATAATTTGTAAAAATTATATTTGTAGATTAAAATTTAATAAACAAAAGATGAAATGTGAAAATATTCTCCTTTAAGTTAGACTTTAAGAACATTGTATATTGCCTATTGTTTGTTTTGATTGTTGATTCTTAATAATTGACAAAAAAACACTAATTGGTATTTCGTACTTTGTTGCAATCGCAGAAAATATAGATGTTATATAGCACCATATAAAATCTTCTTAGTTTCCAAACCCAGAGGAGTTTATCACATTCATTTTCACAGAATTCAAACAGAACTAGAATCAACAATGGACTTGCAATCCAATGAAATGATAACAAAAGAATTTCACTGCCATCTGGGAGCAATTATTTTATATTTTCTCAGGGTCAGTGCCACTTATTCCTTCATTGGAGGCTCATGTCTCAATGTTCAGTAGGGGATATCACAGGGTTTTCACTCCTCAGGGAAAACCTGAAAAATACAGGGAATTAAAAAATCCCTTAAAATAGCTGTGAAAATACAGGTAATTTTATTTTGGTCTTTTAAAAAATGGTAACCACTCAAAGTGTAATCTATAAAATATTTAAGGATATTTCAGCTATATTAAGCTATTTCATTTACATTATTTGTTTTAAGTTTGTTCATCTGTTCCTTTTTTCCTTAAGAAGAGCACAGTGTTTTTCTTCTTAACTTATTGTGTATAATATGTACAGGGAAAACAGAGGAAATTTTTTTTCCAGATTTGAGTGGCAACCCTGTAATAACTGATTGCAGATTAGTATAAACAAACAGACCCTCATTTGAATTCCAAGTATAAATGCACTCTCCTTAATTGTCTAGTTACAGAAAAGTAATGAACTTACTTTAATAAGGAAGGTTGCAATGTAGGTCTCAATTTGTTTTCATTAAGTGCAATATTTATTTTGTCTTCAACGGTTAAAGTTTGTTTTTATCTTTGTATTAAACGTAATCTTTTATTTTATCTTTGTATTGTTATTGTTTTCAGACAACACGACAAGGAAACTGTTTTCCTTCCTTTAAAAAAACAAGGGTAATTCCATGTGTTCCCTGGATTTCCGGGATGTTTGTATGATTTTTTTGGGGGAATATCGCGAAATTCCGCGTATCTCAAGACCATTGGTTCTCAGACTTTCGTTTATCAAAAACATAATCAGCTATGCATTTTCACAAAATTCTGCAGTCTGAAATTGAAATTTTGAAACTTTTGCTAAATCACGTTAGCGAGACGTTTATGATTCCTTTGATCCGGCTGATTTTCCCCATTTTGAATATTTGGAACTCCATCAGAATCTGCTAATATCATAATTCTTATTCACACAATTTTAATATCAATCATCGATTTTGATATTTAGCTGATTTAAAAGTTACGGGCTGCAATTTGTATTTACACGATTTAAAAATTCCGATCACAATTTGTATTTCGTGTTTTTAAAATCCAATATCGCTATTCTAATTGACAGGATTTTAAAAATCCGACATCAATTTATATTCACACAATTTTAAAATATAATATCGTGATTCATATTCACACGATTTAATATCCAATATTGCGATTCTTGGAAGAAGTAAGTTTTTTTTTGAATTAGTTACTACAAAGGTGTAATATTCTTCATTAGTAAGTAATTTAATTAAATCTGTTAGCTGAAAAAAATATGTTAAATATGAAACGTGTGTGGTTTATAAATTGATTGTTATTGCCTTTGATATTTTGTTTTTCGCTTTGTGTCATAATTTCCCCTGATTGGTTTATGTGTTGTGTTCCTATTTTTGTTTTTAACAAGTTGGCAGCTATGTGATTGATTTGTTCAATTTTTATGTAATAAATGTTTAGGATAGAGCCTGATTTCAAAGTCAATTTCTTTTATTCAACAGTGATAAGAGGGAAATTTATTTATACATTTTATTTTTGCATATATCATGTTTTGATTTTTACATGCTACATACCCTCCAACTGCTACGGAATTTCCGTAGTTGCTACGGAAATTGGAGGTAAACTACAGAGCTATGGGTGAATAGTAAAATACTACGGATTAAACGAAAGCGCCTGTCCGATCTATCCGCTGTTGTCGTCTTTCAAGCGTGGTGACGTCACTGATTGCGTATCGCCGAAAATGACGTCATGAGTTGTTAGCCTTGGTCGGGAGAAACCACGTGATTATGAAGGGTTACTCATCGGCGGCGCCATTGTAATCTGCCTGAATGCAGCTGGTCTTTGAGAAACTGCGTTAGTTTTTTGCTTTACACCGTGTGAAGTGAAGTGACTTCAATAAAAATTTTTGAAAACAACTTTGAATTTTGCTGCTCCGATGTTAAAAGAATGATACGTTTTTGTTTGAAATTTTAGATTATTTTTCATCCAGCTTTTATCGCGTTAGTTTATAAGTTGTGTATGTATTATTAAATTTTATTGTGATGGATCGTTATTTGAAAAGATCTAATCAGGATCGGGAAGTTTCTAATGACGATGGATTACGAAAGAAGAGGAAGAATAATCAAAAGTTTAGAGAGGAATATACTAAAAAGTTTCCTTGTTTAGTATCGGGAAAAGATGGCTTTGCGAAATGCAATATTTGTAGTTCGGAATTCTCAATTGTCCACGGTGGACTGGATGATTGTCGCCGACACGTGATCGGTCCTAAACATTGTGCTACTGCAAAAGCACAGGTGCATCAGCAACCTATTAACAATTTTTATTCTTCAAAATTAGAAGAAAATGGTGTGATTAAAGCTGAAGTATTGTTCGTACGGTTTTTAATTGAGCACAATATTTCTCTATCTGCTTCCGATCATTCTGGCGCCTTATTTAAAAAAATGTTCCCAGATTCCGACATTGCAAAAAAGTAT